CCCCCCGCAGCGCCTCCCACCCCCCCCCGCCCCCGAATCGCAGCGTTAACCCTTTAACTGCCGGTGCTTTCCGCGGTGTGCGGACGGGGAATAACGGCGACAGAAAGCGCCGAACCGCCCCGCGGTGCTGACAGATCCGCAGCGGCTGAGGTCGTGTCTGCAGCGGGAGAAAAGTTTGAGCGGCCACGGATGTCCAGAGCTCCCGGCGGAGCGAGCAAACGTTACGATTTTGTGCCCAGAAATCATTGCTAATAGGCATCGTCCCACCGAGCACAGCGATGAAGAGTTCATCGAGAGCGCGAGCGAGGAGCAGCGCCTGGGGAAGCGAAGGATGCCGAGCAGACGGGAATGGGGCTGAAAGGACGGCAGGCGGCAGCGGAGAGCGAGGAACGGAGGCTGAGCGTTCGGACGTGTTTGCGGCCCTGCGCTGGACTCTTTCCAAGAGATCCCTGCCTTTTTTGCACTGGGGAGCCCAGAACTGGGCCCAGTACTCCAGGCTCCTTGGGCAACCTGTTGCAGTGCCTCACCGCCTCACCTCCGGCTGAAAAACTTGCTCCTCATATCCAACCCAAACCTCCCCTGTCTCACTTTAAAGCCATTCCCCCTTGTCCCATCACCATCCACCCTCACACACAGTTTTCAAGCACTGAAGGCCACCATGAGGTCTCCCTGCAGCCTTCTCTCCTCCAAGCCAAGCAATCCCAGTTCCCTCAACCTCTCCTCACAGCAGAGCTGCTCCAGCCCTCTGCCATCTCACTGCCTCCTCTGACCCGCTCCAAGAGCTCCACGTCCTTCCTGTGCCGGGTTCCCCAGGCCTGGGTGCAGCGCTGCAGATGGGGCCTCGTCTTGGAAAAGGACGAACCAGCAGTCGGGTTGGACAGCTGGGATCTGATGATTGAACTCTGAATTGCAACGGGGGAAGTTCAATAAGGGGAGGAAGGGGCCTGGTGATAAACGTAACTGAGACTCCAAACGCAGTGAGAGACCCAAGAGAGAGAATCAGGATAGCGGTTATAGGAATTGTTAATTAGTGTGTGAGATCCATCAGCGAC